ATATCTATGTCATCTAGAGTCACTAGCGTTTACAAACCTAAGGATGAAAGTATTTGTTTTGGTACAAGTTTTACAATAGTTGAAAAAAAATTATACCATCCATCAGGAGAGAATGAGCGGTGTTAAATAAATAAGTTTTACCATGGTTGAAAAAATTATATCATCCAACAAGAAAGAATGAGTGGTGTTAAATAAATAGGCCACAATAACCTCACACAAAACGAAGAATCTATATCTCTAATAAAGCAAAACCTCACCAGAAGCTTTATCTCACACCACAGCGTTCCACGTCATCATGTAGTCTAAACTGTCCAATTCTTTCTTCATGTCATTAAGATTTTTTAGTGATCTGATTTTCCTTTTCTTGGTCTGGGGTCGTCCACTAATACGGTCATACCAGCCCCTCCGACTGAAACGAAACGAACAGGTTCCATCATGCATTCAAGTTGGATTCATGAATGTACTACTAGACCATCCAATTTCCTTCCCCATCAATTCCTGTCCTTTCAAACGTGAAACCTCCGAGAGCATGTCTTCTCGACTCCTCCACTGCCATGGAAATCACACTCCACCAAGGCACAAGCAGCATGACATTATTCAGGGCATCTCTTCGCGTGCTCATTCAAGCAAATGAAAAGACGAGGCTACACTCAACTCCCTCTTGCTGAATGTCTCCAACTCTCCTATATGTAGCAGGATATCGACTCCTCCCATTTTCTGGTGTGCTCCGCTCGTTCCACAAAGCTTGGGGATAAGAACAGGAGAACAGAAAGAAAAACAAAGGCAAAGCTGGTGACCAAGACCTGGATTAGGCTAGCCAACCACGGAAGAAGATATGCCTCCTCCTTCGAGATGGGTTGCATGCTGGTGTTAGAAGGTGTTTTTGCTGGGTTCCTCTTACTATCCCAGATCTTGACATCATTGCCGGTTCAAAAAACCATCTTCACTGTCGGATTTTGAACCGGCAGTGACATACCAGTAGTGATGTGGGATTAATATCACTATCGGTTCTTATGAACCGACAATGATGTGATTTTCATGAAATCCAAAAAATAGGCTGAAAAAATAAAAAAAATTAATTCTGGGAAAACGTGCGCTTCATGGCCACCGACGCTCAAACCCCTGACCTCTTGCTTCGCATCTTCAGACCTTAACCACTCCACCTGCAAGCTGTTTATGTCCAAATGAAATTTTCGTCCTAGTTATTTTATGTTTATCTGATTTTAAAATAAGTATTTGGAGCCCTAAACGAATTCAAATAAAAAAGTTGCCAACTACAGAGTTTTATAACTTTTCGAGATCTATAACTTTCATTTTGGTAGTTTCTCCATACGAGGTCGTTTATAAAATTTGAATTTCAAATTTGAGAAATTCAAACGTAGTTTTCCATGACAAGATTAATTCAAATCAAAATGTTTTCAACTACAAAGTTTCATAACTTTTTGAGATCTAAAACTTTTGTTTTTGCTGTTTGTTCATCTGAGGTCATTTAAAAAATTCAAATTTCAAAATTTTGAAAATTCAAACGTAGTTTTTCTTGAAAAGATGAATTCAAATAAAAAGTTGTCAACTACAAAGTTTCATAACTTTTGGGATCTACAACTTTCATTTTGGTAGTTTCTCCATCCGAGGTCGTTTACAAAATTTGAATTTCAAATTTTAGAAATTCAAACGTAGTTTTCCTTGACAAGATGATTTCAAATCAAAAAGTTGTCCACTACAGATTTTCATAACTTTCCGACATAGTGGTAGTAACATTATTCACAAATATTACATATCCTAGGGATATGTAATATTTGTGAACAATATTACTACCACTTTATCGGATGAAGAAATGACCAAAATAAAATTTATAGATCTTGATAAGTTCTACAACTTCTATGTTCATGACTTTTCAATTTGAAATCATTTAGTGTTCTAAAATGACGTTTGGAGTTGCCATTCTTTTAAATTCAAAATTCAAATAGATAAAACATAGTCACATGAAAAGATGGATAAAATAATAGCTGTAAGAACACAATAAATTGATAGAGCATGATTTTAGAATTTTTTAGGAAAAAATCATCAAATTTGAAGTTAGCATAAGGGAAAAAGACTAGTTACAAATTTTAGCCAGAGATTAAAAAGAGAAATCAGAGTTCTTCAATAATTTCAAATTTTAATTTCAAACGAAAAAGTAGTAAATAATTTTAAATGAAAAAGTTGTTAACTACAAAATTGCATAACTTTTCGAGATCTACAACTTTTGTTTTGGGCGTTTCTCTATCCGATGTCGTTTGAAAAATTTAAATTTTAAATTTTAGAAATCAAACGTAATTTTGGTTAGATAGATGATTTCAATGAAAATATTTGGACATCCAAACAATCTCAAATTAAAAAAGTTTGAACTACAAAGTTCCTCTCTCTCGGTTTTGCACCGTATGTATTATTTGTATGTATTAAACTATTCCTTTTATCGGCACCTATGTAGTGACTTAAGGTAACTGATTGATAATGTGTTGTTGGAGAATTGCTATTTTATTTTTCTTAAAAAAATAGGTTCAACTTTATATTGTGCTCTAAGCATTTTTTTATATGGTTCCACCATTTTTTTTGTTCGTATTTGGAAGTTATGGATTAATCATTGATGGTCTTCATGGTGGGATTTCCATTCAGATTGATTAACTGACTGTAGTTGTTTATTCCACTCCTGTGTTGCAGGTTTTGAGAGAGCTCTTCTCGAGTCAATGTGTTGTCACCGAATCGATCATTTTAGTGTAGTAGAAGAACTGAAGAAGCCACTCCCCAGATTTTTTTTGTTAATATGCACTACTGATTTTTTCAAACATTCACAGATTTTGATTGATCTTGTATTTTCCATTTTCTATGTCTTTACAATTTACAAATTTATGGATTTTCTTAACTAATCCTTTTTTTATCTTAATTCAGTTTAGATGGCAGCACCTATATTTCTTCAAACCTTTAGTGTTTATTGATTATTCTATGTTTTTCTACAAAACATTTAGAACATTGACTGCGGCCTGCGGGTCACTCAATATTATTGATAGGTAATGAGACGTTAGTTCTTCTCCAACGTGTGTGCATGTTGCGTAATGACCCTCCTACTAATTTTTAATCTCTTCATACAAGCTATACAGACAATCCAAACTAAGTGCAATTACTATATTTTTCCAATAAAAAATACAAGGCATATAGGCCCGTTCGCTGGTCTGAATCTTGGCTGAAATGGCTGAAAAAACACTGTTACGGCTGAATTCGTGAGAGAAAAATACTATTCGACTAAAAAACAAGCTGAATATTGGGGTAAGCCGACGTGGCCATAATATAATATTTGTTTTAACGTTCCATCATCTTATAATATGCTATTCTTTTTTATTAGATTCATTTGTTACCTTATCTTACTTTGACTAGAATTGATGCAAGAATATATAAATCAAACTAATAAGAACATCCCGTGGCAACTTGGCCGGGTATCCTTCTAGTAATATATATACATCATTCAAATCCGTCGTGAAATCATAAACCCTTAGCTTCTGACACTTGGACAAAGCACCACCAAGAACTCATCGTGCATGTGCTTCATACGTGAAACAAGACCGTAGGATGCATCATGTGTGGAGCGTGGACGCCGAAGCTACATGTATGATGTACTATCTCTCACCTCTTGTGGTGTGACCGTTTTTTTAATGCTGCAAAACATCATAGATTTCAGTACAACTCACGCGCATCACATTTCTTCGAATTAAAGCACTTAAATATCATATATCATCTCATTTCTCTTCCATATCTTAGTGTAGTATATGTTTGGCAGCGCATACATGTTATCGGTTATATGCGAGATATTAGAGACAAACAAATCATGCCAGCAGCGATGGATTTTCAGTTGTCTGTCATCAATGCTAAGTTAGATACATAAAATAAAACTATATAACAACTACCATGGACACAAATAGAGGATTTCAGCTAGTTTTCAACAGCTACCTATTAGCTCTGAGTCATCCAGGTCTAGCTGCTATTGTTTAGCGATTCTAAAGAAGAAATTTTATGTTTTTATACAAGTTTTATAGTGGTTGAAAAAAGTATAGCTCATCCATCATAACAGAACAACTGGTGGAAAATACGAGGAATTCAATAAAAAGTATAATAAAGTACTAAATAGGTAGGGTCAATAACAAAAGAGTGCAACCAATACCCATATTATTTTTATTTTTTTATTTAAATAAAGAGTAAATTGGTGATCTGATCATACTTTATGGTCCCCAATCAGTAGTTAATGTGAATGATGTTGGAGTTGTTCCAAATTCACTCCAGGATATAGGCCGGGCTTCTGACGGAGCGAAGCGGAGGCCCGTCGCCGGAGGCTTGGGCCGGAGCGTAGCCCCCCACTGTACTGTACGGTATAGGCTCGGGGGGTGCGGGGGGCGAAGCCCCCGCGGTACGGTACGGTATATACACCCTTGCTAGGGTTTCGTGGAGACTTGATTCTCTTGTAAGCCGCCATAGGCGTGTAACCCAAAACTCTTGAGATAGTGAGATTGTTGCTGGCTGGTGCCCGTGGTTTTTCCCCTTCACATCGGAGGGGTTTTCCACGTTAAATCGTGTGTCTCCTCTGTGGCTTGATTCTTTACTTCATATTCCTATACGTCGTTTATAACAAGTGGTACCAGAGCTTTGGTTGCTGTTAGGGTTCATGACGACGTCGATGAAGTTCGATCTTCCGCTGCTGAACTACGACACGCGGTTCTCGCTATGGCAAGTCAAGATGCGGGGGATTCTGGCGCAGACTCATGACTATGATGAGGCGCTGGATAGTTTCGAAAAGAGGAAGGCCGAGTGGACTCCAGAAGAGATCCACAAGGATCAGAAGGCGCTCGCCCTAATTCAGTTGCATCTTCATAATGATATTTTGTAGGAGTGTCTAAAAGAAAAATCGCCGCAGAACTATGGTGAAATCGGAATCGATCTCAGTATGTCCAAGGATCTAACCAAGAAGATGCGAGATGAAGATGAAGTCGTTTCACCACGAAGATGGAGGAGGATTGGTGATGAGCCACATCGCTGAATTCAAGAAGATCGTCGCCGACCTAGTGTCGATGGAGGTGAAGTATGATGATGAGGACTTAGGTCTTTTACTGCTATGTTCTTTGCCAAATTCGTATGTAAATTTTCGTGACACCATACTTTTGAGCCGTGATGAACTAACCCTAAAGGAAGTTTATGAGGCTCTCCAGTCTAGGGAGAAGATGAGAGGCATGGTGCAGAATGACGGGACGTCGTCCTCCAAGGGCGATGCTTTGCATGTGAGAGGCAGAACTGAAAACAGATCCTCCAATGATGACAATGATGGAAGAAAGAACTACGAAAGGAGAGGCCGTTCAAAGTCCAAGCCGCATGGTAATAAAAAGTTCTGTGTTTATTGCAAGCTGACAAATCATAATGTTGAGGATTGCAGAAAAGTACAGAATAAGGAGAAGAGAAAAACAAGTCGACCGGGTAAGGTCTCTGTTGTTGCCTTGCCGCTGCTCGATGATGATTCGGAGATTGTCCGGTAGTATTTGCTGGTTGTGTTCTTTGGTCATGATGAATGGATTTTCGATTCGCATGTTCATTTCATATTTGCACTAATGTAAATTGGTTTAGCTCAGATAAGCTTTCGTGCGTAAAGGGGATGTTGTGCGGATGGGAGATGATAACCCGTGTGACATTGTGGGGATTGGATCAGTTCAGATCAAGACTGATGATGGCATGACACGAACGCTGAAAAACATCAGGTATATACCAGGAATGTCCAGAAATCTTATCTCATTGAGCACGCTTGATGCAGAAGGTTACAAATATTCCGGTTCAGATGGCGTTCTGAAGGTATCAAAAGGTTCTCTTGTTTGCTTGAAAGGTGATCTTAATTCTGCAAAGTTATATGTCCTTAGAGGGTGTACTTTACCGGTTACGATTTACCGTCATTCAGCTTTGTTACTAATGATGAACCTAGTAAAACTAACCTTTGGCATATGCGTTTGGGACATATGAGTCACCATGGTATGGCGAGAATTGATGAAAGAAAACTCTTTGGATGGCTGCACTTCGAGTAAAATAAAGTTTTGTGAGCATTGTATTTTTGGGAAGCATAAAAGGGTACATTTCAACACTTCTGTTCACACCACTAAAGGTACTCTTGATTATGTTCATGCTGATTTATGGGGCCCTTTCCATAAGTCCTCACTTGGTGGTGCTCGTTACATGCTTACAATTATTGATGATTACTCTAGAAGGGTTTGGCTTTATTTTCACGAAAATGTAAAGATGATACTTTTTTCGCTTTTAAGGACCTGGAAAGTAATGATAGAAAGGCAAACTGAAAGGAAGGTAAAATTGCTTCGTACTGATAATGGTGGAGAATTTTATTCGCGTGAATTTAATGATTATTGCAGATCGGAAGGCATTGTTAGGCATCACACCATACCCCATACTCCACAACAGAATGGTGTGGCCGAACGCATGAACAGAACAATCATGTCCAAGGCCCGTTGCATGCTGTCTAATGCCAGGATGAGCAAGCATTTTTGGGCTGAAGCTGCTAATACTGCCTGTTACTTGATAAACAGGTCGCCTTCTATTCCACTAAATAAAAGAACTCCCATTGAGGTATGGTCTGGTACGCCTGCTGATTATTCACAGTTGAAAGTTTTTGGATGCACTGCTTATGCTCATGTTGATAATGGAAAATTAGAGCCTAGAGCTGTTAAGTGTCTTTTCCTTGGTTATAGTTCGGGAGTCAAAGGCTATAAATTGTGGAATCCTGAAATAGGAAAGACTTTTATAAGCAGAAGTGTTGTTTTCAATGAATCTGTGATGTTTCTTGGACAGCTTGCCCTTAGATCATGTTCCAGAAAAGAAATTTGCCAGCGTGCGCATGCAGTGTGGAGCATGTTGATGATGATACATGTGCGTGTGGAGCCTGTTGTTGAGCATGGTGACCATGATAATGATGTTCTTTGAGGATGATGCTCATGATGATGTTCAACCAAACTCCTCCTATTTTGCAGTTAGAGGAGGATTTACCTATTGCTCAACGCAAGTCAAAAAGGACAATTGCACCTCCTAAGCGTCTTATTGAAGAGTGTAATTTGTCTTACTATGCTTTGAGTTGTGCTGAACAGGTGGAGAATGTTCATGAGCCAGCAACCTATAAAGAAGCTATTCGTTGTGGTGATACTGAGAATTAGATTTCTGCTATGCATGAGGAGATGCGCGATCTCTTGAGAAGAACAAAGACATGGGAGATTGTACTGTTGCCTAAGAATAAGAAGACCATCAGCTGCAAATGGATCTTCAAGAGAAAGGAGGGTTTATCTCCAAGCGAGCCTCCAAAGTATAAGGCAAGGTTAGTTGCTAAAGGCTACAGTCAAATTCCGGGTGTTGACTACAATGATGTGTTCTCTCCAGTGGTAAAACACAGTTCAATTCGTACTTTCCTTAGTATTGTTGCTTCACATGATCTTGAGCTTGAGCGAGTTAGATGTGAAGACTGCGTTTTGCATTGAGAGCTTGAGGAGGACATATACATGGACCAAACCGTAAGGGTTCATAGTGTGCCAGCAAGGAAAAATATGTGTAAGTTGAAGAGATCCTTGTATGGTTTGAAACAGTCCCTCGTCATTGGAACAAGAGGTTTGATTCATTTATGTTAGCACACGTTTTAAAAGATCTAAGTATGATAGTCAGTGTGTTTACATCAAGCATGTTAATGGATCACCTATATATTTGTCGTTATATGTTGATGATATCTTTGATTCTTTTGCCAAGAGTAAGATTGAAATCATTAAGTTAAAGAAGCTATTGAGTAGTGGTTTTGATATGAAAGATCTTGGTAGTGCTAAGAAAATTCTTGGTATGGAAATTAGTAGAGATAGAAAATCTGGTTTGCTATTTCTTAGTCAACAAAATTATATCAAGAAAGTTCTTGAAATTTCAACATACAAAATGCTAAGGTCATTAGTACCCCTATTGCACCTCACTTTAAGTTGTCAAATTTGCTGTCCTGTCCTAGCATACAGATGCAGAGATTGAATACATGTCAAGAGTTCCTTATTCTAGTGTGTTGGGTCTTTGATGTATGCCATGGTTTGCTCTCGTCCTGCATTTGTCATATGCTATGAGTCTTGTTAGTAGATATATGTCTAATCCTGGCAAAGAACATTGGAAGGCGAGTTCAATGGATTTTCGGTACCTGAGGAGGCACAAAGCAGATTCTGTTTAAAGTTTGGAAGAACTGATAAGGGTCTTATTGGCTATGTGGATTCTCGATTATGTCGCTGATCCGGGATGGTGTAAGATCACTTACAGTGTTATATGTTTCTTGTGCTAAGGTTGTCTTTGTGAGTTGGAGGGCTACTTTACGATGATCGATTGTTGCTTTGTCTACTCTTCAAGCAGTAATATATGGCTATTTGTGAAGCGTGCAAAGAATTAATTTGGCTGAAAGGTTTGTACGCTGAGCTTTGTGGAGTTAAATCTTGCATAAGTTTGCACTGTGACAGTCAAAGTGCAATTTACCTCACTAAAGATTAGATGTTCCATGAGAGAACTAAGCACATAGATATCAAGTATCATTTTGTGCGTGATGTGATTGAAGAAGGTAAGCTGAAGGTATGCAAGATTAGTACTCATGATAATCCTACTGATATGATGACAAAGCCTGTTCCTGTTGCTAAGTTTGAGCTGTGCTCAAGCTTAGTTGGTTTAATTGGATAGTCCAAGAGACTATTGTTGGCACCAGTGGTTTTCTATCTTTGTTATGTTCAGGATGAAGGGTTGATTTATGATACAAGATGAATTTGTCTCAAGGTGGAGTTTGTTGGAGTTGTTCCAAATTCACTCCAGGATATAGGCCGGGCTTCTGACGGAGCGGACCGGAGGCCCGTCGCCGGAGGCTTGGGCCGGAGCGTAGCCCCCCGCGGTACGGTACGGTATATACACCCTTGCTAGGGTTTCGTGGAGACTTGATTCTCTTGTAAGCCGCCATAGGCGTGTAACCCAAAACTCTTGAGATAGTGAGATTGTTGCTGGCTGGTGCCCGTGGTTTTTCCCCTTCACATCGGAGGGGTTTTCCACGTTAAATCGTGTGTCTCCTCTGTGGCTTGATTCTTTACTTCATATTCCTATACGTCGTTTATAACAAATGAATCAAGTAATTACATTACCTGCCTCAGCATTCACCACTCCTCCTCATCCCCATTGGTATGGCAGAGAGCAGGAACAATGGCAGGTGAGCATAGCGGTGGCCTGGCATCCTCTTCCTCCTCGCCTGCTGCTGCTTGTGGACCTCTGCCAACACATCCTTTCCCCTAGTTAACTCCAAATGCTAAATTGATTTTCAAACACGGAGAAAAACATGGTTCATTTCTAAACACTGTTTTTTAATGATGGTTGCATAACTCACGGTTGACGATTTCACATACAATATGTTCAAAGGTCCAGCAAGGCCAGCCTACTTTGTACCATGGATTCTGTGTACTATATATTTCAGGCCATATCTAATTAAATTGAAGCATATGTTCTGCAGGAGCGGCAATGCCAGAAATATTGATGCATGATTGATCGATGCCTCAGCAGCAGATGACTGCATGCAGAAATCATCACAGTTTTTATTTTTTGAGGTGAATCGTCATCAACTCATTGCATATATACATCTCTCCCTTGCTACTCCACAAGCAATATATCATGCATCAGTTAAATACCATCCATGCTTCGACTCATGGAGGTCGTTACAGCTCTTCCAAGTGAAGTGAAATGCATGTTGTTACATCTCACTCAAATTCTATGAGACATTGGAGGCAAACAAACTGTACCGATAGCAAGGGCCCTACTGACAGTAAAACGATTAGGTGAAAAACAATAATGAACAGATTCTTACAAAATTCACAACACAAGATTACAGGAGTTCCTCCAGCCGAGGCTCGCATCCAACCAGCAATTTCATCACCAACTCTATGATGCCTACCTAGGAAGTAGGAAGACGGCATGACATTTCCTAGGCTGGACTTATTTTGCCAAAGTAGTTGGAGTCGAGAGGACTCTCTTAATTAGGCTGCAATGCTGAGCATTGTGCATGGCTTCTTCTATCACTTCATGTGCTTCTTTGTGATATGCCTATGTGTACCAAGCATGCACACATATAGTGTGCCTACTATATATTTCTGGTCTTGTCTTAACTTAAAGCATATGTTCTGCTTGAGCAGATATGCCAAAAATAGTTGGTGCATGATTGATTGATCGATGGCTAAGCAGCTGGTGACTGCATGCCCAAATTATGACATTTTTGTGAGGATCGTCATGAACTCATTATTACTGCATATATCTCTCGCTTGCTACTCCACCAGGGATCCATCAAGCTGTTAAATACCATGCATGCATCGACGCATGGAGGTTGTCGCGTCTCCTAAGTGAAGTGAAATGCTGGTTGTTACAACCTTTCAAGTTCTATGAGACATTGAGTCAAACAAACCGTAGATAGCAGTGGCCCCACCTACTCTAAAACATTTAGGCTAAAAACAGCTCCCACCTACGAAATAAAAAGGAAGACGGCAATGACCTTTCTTGGTTCAGTTTGGGATGGACTTTTTCAGCAACTAGTTGGAGCATAGCTAGATATTGAGGGTTTGGTTGTGGGACTCTCTTGGGCTGCAATACTGAGCCTTGGGCTGCATCTCCTATCGCTTCATGGGCTTCTTTGTGATCTGCCTCTATCTGCTGCCCATCAATGCAACTGCACGTGCATGATCACGTTCAGTTGCTTCTTGGTCATCAGCTTGTTGTTCCACTTCGTGACATCGCCTGCTTCTTCAAAATCATCTTACCTAAGGCATTGCTGCTAGAAACTGCCATTTCAGTGTTGATTTGAAAAGTTTTTGTTTGAAATTGTTTAGGGTCCCAAACTATTGTTTTATGTTCATGAATTTTGAAAATTGAAATTTTTAAATAGCGTCGGATGTTGACATAGTCCATAGCAAAGTTGTAGTTCTTAATACAATCCAGAACTTTGTAGTTGAAAAGTTTTTGGTTTGAAGTTATTTATAGTCCCAAATATGTGTTTTATTAAGTTCATAGTTTTCAAAATTCAAAATTTAGAATTTCTAAATGGCCTTGAATATTGTTCATATAGTTAGCACCAAAGATGTAGTGGCCAACCTAATCTACATGTTTGTTGTTGATAAATTTTTGATTTGATGTTTTTTATTGTCTCAAATATTTGTATTATATTCACGTATTTTAAAATTCAAAATTTTGAATTTTTCAAAGAATCTTGGATGGAGACACTTCCTATACAAAAGTTGTATTGCTTGGCAAGATTTCAAACTTTATAGCTGAACTTTTTCATCTGGGTTTATTTAGTATCTATAATTTTTAATACAAGATTACGAAATATTTGTAAAAAAAGATAGAATTATGTATATGCTCACAAGTGATTATGTCTAGTGGTAAGGAGTTGTTATTGCTGAGTTGTAGGCCGTGGGTTTGAGTTCTAAGATTTTTTTTTTGTCTTTTGAGTTTTCTAGAAACCGTTAATCCATTTTCGGAGGCATGCATCTTAAGGTGTTCACCCCTAAAAACCGATTTTCACAGGCGGGCATGCCGACCACTGCCTCTGTAAATGCTCATTTACAGTGACCTTTGGTTAGAGGCGGACGGCTTGCCTGCCTCTTAAAATAAAAAATATTGCTCGCCTCTGAAAATATTTTTGATACTAGTGTATTACTTGCTAGACCAATAGCTTTAGGTGGTGAGATTTGGGGTCCATTTATGATATTTTTGTGTGGTTAATGTTGTAAAATTTCAGACATAATTGACGTTCTTACAACATATTTAAATAAAATAAAATTTTCCAGAACTCAGAGAAATGCCCTATATAAATGTGATACAAAAGCTGAAGGCCATTTCGCTTGTATAAAAGAAATATAGTTACTCGGCTCATATCAACATTAAACTTGTCAAGCATACGAAGGCCTATGAAAAACATACACACATTTATTTATTATGAAAATATTATTGATTAAAAATGTTAAAATAAAAATGAATCGTTGGGGGTAGACCTTCGATGCACCCAAAATTAGTTTAGGGTGGTTTCCATGTATATACACGAATATAGTGTCCTTATATATTTAATATACCGAGGTGGCAACATTGAAGCATGGAGAGATAATTTTGGAGGTTGTTTGCAAAGAGGTACGCATATATAAAACTTTCATAACAATTAATGTACTACAAAATTGTATAAAGACCCCTAAATACATAATATCATTGGACCACCATGAACAGTCTAGAGTCCATTGTGGCTATTCTAAATTGCCAGGTCAGTGGGTCGATTGAATAATGCCAACAGGCTAGCTAATTAGGTAGAATAACCTTACCTGAAACAAAGACTAATGCAGCAGGCGAATCCGTCGTCGAATCATACACCCGGCCTTGTGATGCCTAGAGCTCATCCTGAATCAAGGCCCGATGCCGCCCATGTGGCACTCTCTAGCTGAGCTTGTCGTGTCGATCAGGCCGATGCTTGTGGCCTGATCCGCTTGGTCACGCCATTGCTGATGTTGTTTTCCTTCCTTACTTCCCCTCCATACATTTTTTTCCTTCTAGAACAAAATGTATGCCTGATACCAAACACAGGCCCGGTCCAGGGAAAATGGATCTGAGCGAGGCTCAGCCCAAAGGAGACAGAGGATGCATCATGTGTGTAGTGTGCGCGCTGAAGCTATAGGCATGATATGTATTTGCCATGCACCTCTCGTAGTGTGTGACTAGTTTTTTTAACGATTTTTTAGGTGTCTCACTCATATGGCAAATCATCACAGTTTTGTGATTCGGGTATGATTCATGCATCATATTTCTTCAACTTAGACCACCTTAAATACCATGCGTCATCTCATCTCTCTTCCATCTCTCAAAGTGCAGTATGGGCATGTTTGGTTAGAAGCCCTGGAGAACTTTGCTCGGTAAAAAGTGATGTCCGGAAGTTGCTCGGAAAGTTGATGGTTTTTTGTCTAACGAGGCAATTTTGAAGAAAAGCCGTTTGGTTGGAGGCATGTGCCTGAGAATGTTAATAAGAGGAGATATTCATAATATCAGTGTGTTAACTGATGTTTGTGATATATAATTAGCATATAGCTTTTGCAGTTTTACTAAAAATATATTTGTATAAATATAGAATTATTTATAAATCTAAAATGTTATTTTAATTAGATTTATTTTAGATTATTAAGCTAATAAAATAGAAATAAATATGTATTTATATTAAATTAATCCATAATGGTACACGCTTGACTTAATAAAATAGCTAATGTACTTTTGCCTTAATTATAAGTAGCTAATGCACAGTAGTTAAATAGCTAAAACAATCAAATCAGTCATTGGAGTATGTACTGATCCAGGCAAAAAAGAAAGCAGGAGCCAAGCGACTGTTTTTTTCACGCACTCGAGTCCGGGTGAAGATGCCTGGGGCAGGCAACCCACCAGGTCTGCAACCAAACAAGGTGCAGTCAACTTCCGTGCAAGTTACAAAGTGAGGCATTTTTCTCCCTGTGGTTCAATCCAAACATGCCCATATGCTTGGCAGTGTATACAGATTATCGGTTATATGAGATATTAGAGAAAAACAAATCATGCTAGCAGCATTAAATTTTCATTTGTTTGGCATTAATGTTTTGTCTGGATTTCGAATTATTAGCTGTATTAGCTAAAAGTAACTCTGTAACAACTAATTCTTAGCTAGGTTTAGATATGATACTGTAGACAAAGGATTTTACTTATTTTTAGCAGCTACCTGTTAATTCTAAGCCATCCAGGCCTGGTAGTGTTTTGATATTGTTAGGATCTTGTGCTTAGAGATTTTAAGGAGCAAACTAATTATTGTTGTGTTCCGCTAACAGCCAGGCCAACTTGCTTGGTCGATCGCGATCGTGTCCTTTCCCGGCCGAGCACCACCACATGCATGCCGCCGTAGCTCTAGCGACGACGCCCTCTTCCGGCCGTAGCTCCTGGCCGGGCCTCCCAAGCCTTAGCCACCTGCCACTGCCTGCCTGCCGCTGCATGCATGCTAGCTGTTGCTGTTGCCACCACTACGGCACGCAGCGGCATGGGAATGGGAGTGGGCAGATTTAGCTTGCTATCATGGAACGCAGTTTTTTTTCACTTAGGAAAAAGGAAAAAACTGGGTCCGCCACGTGACAACCAAGTCATTGTACGTGCCTTAGCTTTGTCCCAACAGCTAACTATCCATAGCAACTATAGCCAGAGAGCCTTAAAAATAGTTGTCCAACAAATAAAAATTCATAACTTCTTGAATGATCTCCGACATAAGAAAAACTTTATATTAAATTGTAGAGCTCGATGAGATCTAAAACTTTATGTAGTTGGCAAATTTTTTTATTTGAGACTATTTAGGAGTCTAAATATATATTTTAAGTTCTCGGATTTCAAATTTATTTTTCAAAATTTTCAAACGGCCTCTGATGCAAAATATCCTCTATACCAAAGCTGTAGTGCTTGAGAAGTTTTAAAAACTTTGTAGTTGAAAATATTTTCATTTGAGATCGTTTATGTGACATAATATTCAATACAATAACCATATATCAATACAAAAGGATAGTATTTGCTCACAAGTTATTATGTGGTGTGGTGGTATGAGAGGCATGCGCAAAAATCTAAAATTTAACATTGCGATGCTGCAGCTAAGCCTTTTGTGATTAAAATATCATAAACTGTGCTCTTAATAGTAAACTTTCTTTAGAAATGTTTTGCTGAACTGTATTTTTTTAACCATCTCTAGAAATTGATTTCCAGGAGTGGTTGACTGAATAAAATCATCCCCAAAAATCAATTTATTAAGTGTTGTTGACTAAATCAACCATACCTAGAAATAGTTGTCTGAGTAAATAAAATTTTAACCTTTTCAAATGGATTCCTATGCACAAAATCACCAACCATGAATCACCGAGGTGTAGCCGTGTAGGTGTCCAGCTTTAAATGGCGAAGACGCACAAAATCACCAATCATGGATCATCGAGGTGTAGGTGTCGAGCTTTCGTGGCCAAGACCATTGTTTCGGACTCTATCCATACCAAAATTTTCAACAATGATCACCATTTTGACTGCATGTGATGTTATTTCGCAATCAAATCATGACACTGAAAGGGGAGAAATAAATATCCAACAAACTAGGACTCTGTTTGGATGAACTAGGAGTATAGATGGCCAATGGTCGAACCGGCCAAGACGGCCTAAAAGGGGTCGGGCGGCATGGCACGTCGTGCCTCCAGTGCCGTGCCTCTCCGGGTCATAGCCCGAGAAGCACGGCACTCCAAAGAGAGCCGGGCCAGCCCGTAGCTCAAGCAAGTGGCCGATGGGGGTAGAGAGGAGTTGATGCGGCGTCTGGTGAGGTGAGGATGTGGCGATGGTGAGACGGAGGCTGAGGAAGCGATGCCGCTGGCGAGGTCACTAGCACAAGGCCGAGGACGCAATGCCGCCTGCCTCAAGGGGCGCGAACGGGCATCGGCGGCGGCGCTTGGGTCTGGGGAGCGGCGATCGCCGCCACCGCTCAGCATCTTGGGGCTGGAGCGCCCATCTCGTTGCCGGGATCTCGAGAGTCGGGAACGGGATCTCGAGGTCGGGGACTCGGGCAGGCGAAGTAGCGGAGGGGAGGCGGAGGGGTCGCGAGTCGCAACTCGCTAGGAGTCGCGCGCCTACGCGAGGCCATGAGGCATGCAGGTAGCGGCGGTGGGATTGGGAAATTTGGGATTAGGGTTAGGAGGCAATATATATATATATATATGCTAGCAATATGAGGTAGCGGGCCTTTGTCGGGCCGGTTGGAAAAATCGGGCCGTGCCGTGCCTAGACAGCGGCCCAAGCATGGCCCTGCGCATCAGGCCGGGTTGGCCTGGGCCCGGCCGCCACGGACCGTGCCGTGCTTGGGGCGGGCCAAAAAAGCGGGCTTCGTGCCGGGCTGGCGGGCTGCATGGCCATCTACGACTAGGAGTCTAGAACTAGTGATTAGTTAGGACTAGTGATTAGCTAACTAGTAGTTAGCTGACTAGTGATTAGTTCTCCTGTTTGGATCCTTGGGCTAATAATCACTAGTTCTAACTAATCATTAGTCCTAATTCATCCAAACAGGACCAAACAAGTAGACAAAAAAAACTCATGCAGAACTTGACATCCTAGATATTTTTGCACAATTCCTATCTATCAGTCGCCTGATTTTTTTTAAGTCCATTCAGGCGACGCCGTGCACTCGTGCCATCACTGGTGCGTTCCGTGGTGCTAGAAAAGCTGGTGCACGGTCGGAGCGACGGACGCTGTTGCAGCACGCGTGCACCTGCGAATGCTGAAGCTATGCGATGGAGCATGTACGAGGGAACACAAGCGGATTTCCTTGGATGCTCCTATCATTAACGTGCTGAGTACTACTAGTCGGCTAGTAGTAGCTTGGTTGTTTTGTTAATTGTTTTTGTGTCATACTATATTAATTTTTTGTCCTTGTTTACCTATAGAAAATAATTGTATATTTTTTAATTGTATTTGTGCCAACATAGATTAATTTTTTTTCAGATTTGTGGTTTTGTCTGGCGGGTTTTTATTGTCAGACCTGAAATTTGCATATTACGGTTACAGAAATTACGATAAACTAAAGCTACAATTTTAACATAAAACATGTGCAATAACCATCGCCTGAAATGAAGTTAAACCTGAATTTTAGCAACTCCCATATTTTTGTAGTAGCTATCCATGTTTCATATTGTCGTACGTGCATGAGTGCTGGGTATTTTAAGAACAAGCATTTGCTGCACTGCACACAACACTCGTCAATCGACCAGGAAGCAGGGAGAACTAACCATCTATCCATGGCGGCTCTTCACTTGGTGCACGTAGTGTACCAGTTCATGCTGGCGGCCGCTACGCCTCTAGCACAACGGCCACTTTGGTTCGTCGTCGTGCCTCTAATGCTAGTGCTGTTGCCTGTCATCTGCCGACGCCTCCACCACCGCCCCAACGCCGGTGACGACGAGAGGAAGCAGTCGAAGCCTCTCCTGCCGTCGCCTCCGGGGAGGCTGCCGGTCATTGGCCACCTGCACCTCATCGGCGACATCCCACACGTCTCCCTCCGTGACCTCGCCACCAAACATGACCGTGGTGGCGGCCTCATGCTCCTCCAACTCGGCACCGTCCCCAACCTCGTCGTCTCCTCCCCACACGCGGCGCAGGCGGTCCTCCGGACGCACGACCACGTCTTCGCCTCGCGGCCGACGCCCAAGGTCTTGCACAACTTCCTGTACGGGTCGTCGACCATCGCCTTTGGACCCTACGGTGAGCACTGGCGTATGGTTAGGAAGCTTGTCACCACGCGCCTCTTCACCGTCAAGAAGGTGAACTCGTTTCACCATGCCCGCCAAGAGGAGGTAGCTTATTATCATTATTATATGTATAATAGGGTATGAATGAGAATGCATGAATTGCGATGAAATTAATGTTTCACTCATATTGTTACATATACTAATATGTATATACTAGCTAGGTGCGCCTGGTGATTGCCAAGCTGAAGAAGGCCATGGCTACAGGCATGGCAGTGGACATGAGCGAGACGATGAACACGTTCGCCAACGACATCATGTGCTGCGTGCTGTCGGGCAAGTTCTTCAGGGAAGACGGCCGGAACAAGACCTTCCGGGAGCTGATTGAGATGAATGTTGCCCTGTATGCAGGGTTTAGCCTAGAAAACTATTTCCCAGGGCTTGTGAATTCGCTAGGTATCTTCACCAGGTTGGTGAGCAGAAAGGCGGACGAGACGCATGAAAGATGGGACGACGTGCTTGAAAATATCATAAGCGACCATGAGAGGCGAGCTGAGCAAGAAGAGAGTGCAGACTTCGTTGACCTGATGCTCTCTGTTCAACAAGGGTACGGTATCACCAGAGATCATATCAAGGCCATCTTGATGGTGAGTAACTATTAGGTACCAATATCAACTTTTTCTTTAGAGATCAAAATAGATCTATCCTAGATTGTGTCATTTTCGATTGACGTACTTATCCTAAATTACCCACACCCAGGACCTGTTTGATGCGGGCACGGGCACATCATACTTGACGCTTGAACTTGCCATGGCTGAGCTCATGCGCCACCCTCATATCATGACCAAGCTACAAGCTGAGGTCAGGAACTAGACACCAAATGGACAGGAGATGGTCAAGGAAGAGGACCTAGCTAGCATGGCCTATCTGAGAGCCGTGGTGAAGGAGACGCTAAGGTTACACCCACCTGCTCCACTGCTCTTGCCTTACCAATCTATGGTGGACTGTGACATCGATGGGCATACAATCCCCTCTGGAACTCGAGTCATCATCAACGCTTGGGCTGTCTGTAGACATGTAGAGTCGTGGGAGAAAGCAGAGGAGGAGTTCATGCCGGAGAGGTTCATGGATGATGGTAGGGCTGCAGCCGTCGACTTCAAGGGGAATGACTTCCAGTTCATACCATTTGGAGCTGGTCGAAGGATGTGCCCTGGCATCAACTTTGGGTTGGCCACTGTTGAGATCATGCTGGTAAACCTCATGTACTGTTTTGATTGGGGGCTGCCGGCTGGTATGGACAAGGAGGATATTGATATGACAGAGGTTTTTGGATTGACTGTTCACCGAAAGGAGAAGCTCATGCTCGTTCCGAAACTACCTGGAAGCGCTTGCTGCGCATAATCTGAGGCAGGATGCTCTGTAAAAGATATGCCTAGTATGATTTTTGAAGTGTATGGCCTGCACGTGAATTTGTGTACCTGTTGTATGTATTTTGCGGGGTTACCTAGTTGTATGCATAGTCAAGAAAAAAAGTTGTATGCACATATGTATTGCACGCATGTCCCTTCAAATATATATGAAGCCACAGTATGGATTGTTCAAAGCTGTGAACAATATATTTTTACATAAAGGAAGCTTCTAAGAACATCAAGATGCATCAAGATCATAAAACCGTTCTAAAAGTACTCTGGTCTCTCCAGAACTAAGATGATGCCTACAGCTTTAGCATAAAGGTAACACACCAAAATAAAAAGTCAAACAGGTAGTGCTAAGAAAGCTAATGCCGCAACCGGTTCCTTACTCCATGTCATACACAACCTATGTGATGTCCAGAAACATCCAACTCTTCATATCACACAAAGCCCATATGATGATTCAGAGACATTCATGGGCTCTCCTCCCTAGTACAGAAGTATCTTCCATTAACACCTCATTTTTTTTTCACTGGCCACAGAATGAAAGCAGGTGCTACTACCGAGCAGTTTGTGGGCATAATTTCATGTTTGTCTCTTCGTTCATTTTCTAACACAATAGGGATAATAGATATATACTACGTAGTAACTATGCAGTTTTAGTAAAACTTATCAATTACAGACCTACATGTTTTATGACTCATATACATAGATTTTTTCCATTGCATATCACATCTGTGTATCATTAATATGCATTACTTGACTCCTTAATTAAAACTGTGGTGGCTCTTGTTGCGGCCCCATGGCTTATGTTGTCATTTGATTTTCATAATTTAATCTTGTTGATTGGTATATATTTTTTAATCCTTAAATTAATTTGGAATTCTTGTGCATCTTTCATGAATATTTACTGATTTAGAGGATTCTATTAGCAACCTATTTACTGATAAAGTATGCTGACCCTAGAACCATGATCAATATTACATATAAATAAGTAAAATAATGGAAGTAAAAATTTTGAAACATAAACCAACATAAACATAGCCATATTAATATAAGCATGCGAGGATCTTGGTCGATCTTAACCATAAGCATGACTGATATATCAGTTTTAAACACACTGCAGGTATTGCACACTTCACCAACAATTGACATGGAAATAGTTTGCATCAGAAGTTAAGCCAAAGAATAAAAATGAAGTAAACCACGGACGACAAGTGGAGATACTAAAAAGGATTCAGGGACTAATATCCATATACTAGTAAATATAAAAGACGAAGTTGGGTTGGCATAGCTAAATGTGTGTTGGAGTTTGCATGGTTGCTGTAGTATGCTTGTTAGCCCAACTGCTGTGCTCTGTATAGCTAGCTGTTGGGACAAAGGCACGTACAATGACTTGGTTGTCACGTGGCGGACCCAGTTTTTTTTTTCTTTTTTGCTAAGTGAAAAAAACTGCGTCCCACTCACATTCCCATGCCGCAAGTGGATGCATGCCGTAGTGGTGGCAACAGCAATAGCAAGCATGCCTGCATGCAGCGGCAGGTGGCTCGGGCTTGGGGAGCCCCCGAGCTACGGCCGGAAGAGGGCGTCGTTGGAGCTACGGCGGCAAGCATGTGGTGCTCGGCCGCCGGGAAAAGGACACGATCTCATTGGGAAAGGCATCACAAGACGGCTCATCGAGCATGTTCTCCGTACGTGGAACGAGCTCATCCTGAACCAAGGCCCGATGCCGCCCGTGTGTCGCTTTCTAGCTGAGCTCGTCGTGTCGATCAGCACGTATAGGCGGAGCCAGCACTAGGGCGAGTTAGGGCGGCCACCCTAGGTTCCTCTGGCCGGGCACCCATTCACACCCCACAAAGCTATCAGCCGGTTAAACTCAGTAGCACCTCATCTTTTCCTCTCAATCTCCATGCACTACTAAAAAAGGATCTGTAGCAACGCCTATTTTTTAGGTGTGACTCTATATTGAGCCGTCCCTAGTGTCCAATTAAGCCGTTCCTACAAATAGACACTGAATAGTAAAAATTAAGCACTAAAATTCGAATTTTTCAAAAGAACCCGGATCAAGAAATGATCAAAATAAAAGTTGTATATTTTAAAAAGTTATGAAACTTTGTTATTTATAACTTTTTTATTTGAAATCATTTAGTACGTCAGAATGATCGGCGGAGCTCAGCGCCTCGGCAACAATGGGTGACTAGCGGCGCCTTCGTTTTTGTGCATGTGGGTGATTGGATAAGAATGAATCGAAGAGGCATGGGCTGGCGTGGAACTGTGTTTGGCATTGGGCTGTGTATAGACAGTTTGAGACTAAAGGCCAATTGGCCACTATCATGTTTCTAACTAGGGCCCCAAGACGGGCTCAGCAGGTCAAGGGAGCCCAGGACCGAGCCTCGGCCAGACGTTGGAGGCACCCCTGCACAGGGCAGGGAGGTGCACGCCTAGGGGTAGCGCCGCCACTACCCTCGATCTCTCAACATCTAAGGAGATCTTAAATCTTTTACAACTAAAAAATAAAAATAAAATAAATTTTTATATGACTTTTTTTGATCGCTCTCTTCCCATCCGCGGCGATACCGCTGCCCCCCGCCTCCCCCGCCTCCCTCCCTCCCTCAAATCACGCCCATCCCCTCCAATCACGCTCCCTCCCTTCCCCATGCGCGCAACCCAAGCCGCCGTCGCCTCTCCCACGCCTCCCCCTCCCCACGCCTCCTCCAAGCCAGCCCCGCCTGGCAGCAGGCTATCCGCCGCGTCGGCGCCTGTGGCCAGGCACAGCAGGCGACTCCTCCTCGTCCGCGCCCCTGTCGGAAGACGACGCCGTCACACATGGCAAGGGAGCACAGCATAGCTCGCTCGCTCTGGCGCCCTGCGAGCAGCAGCAGCACCCCCGCTCCGCAGCCCCGACCTGCCCTCTCCTCAATCTCACTCTCCTCGCGGACCTCCACACGCACTGCGCGTGGCGCTCTCTGCGTGAGGCGGCAGGGCTTGCGACGGCGGAGATGGCGGAGGCCCAGGTGCCGCTCGCCTACCGCGACCAGTGCGCTCACCTCCTCATCCCGCTCAACAAGTGCCGCGTCGCTGAGTTCTACCTCCTGGAAGTGCGACCCCGAGCGCCACGCCTACGAGAAGTGCGAGTACGAGCTCGTCATGGAGCTGATGCTCAAGATGCAGAAGATCCGCGAGGCGCAGGAGGCCAAGGTCAAGGGCGGCGCCTCCATTGGCCTCATCCCTGCCACCGCAAAGCTCGCCTGATGCGGCCCCGGCCCGATCCGTTTGATTTAGGTGAGCTCCAACTCCGTCACGCCGTTTTGAATTTCTTTTCTTCGGGATTTAGCTCGGCTGCTGTGACTGAGTTCGTGATTTGGATGTGAAGGCCACATATTGTCTCGGGTCCTTAGGGATTCCGATTGGGTGAGTGGCGTGCGCCCTTTTGTCAGGGGAAGCGACATTGGGCGGGTGATCCGTCAGCTATGGCGTGGACATTAGTTAATTTGTAGACATTCTAGATTAAGCTCCTGACTGAATGGTTAGGGTTTTCAGGAGCTGCTGTAGCCGAGTAGCACTTGTAGAGCTAATTTAGGTAGGGTGAACATAGAAATGTGACTCTTGATTCCTGGGAGCATGATGCTAGCTTGCTGCGAATATTAAGAATTTGCGACATGAAAATCAAGCCACTGGTATACATGAACATCTCATACCAGTCCAGATTTTTTTTGCTGCCCAGTGCCAGCTGCAGTTCCAACCATTATGCTGTTGTATAGTCCATAGGTTTTTATATTTTGAGTTGTGATGTTCATGTATCATGAGTACACAACAGTGCTAAAATGTTCAGAGGTCAGTCTAGCTGGTAGGAAGCTTAATGGAACTTCATGATATCTGCCCTGTGACCTGAATTTTTAGGGCTCCCAAACCACCTCAAATTGGTTACAGATTCTAGATTACTGTTTGGTGATATTAGAACTAGAACTCTATTATGGCTTGTAGCTCCTCAGGACACTGGAAGAAACAGTGGTTTAGCAAGGCCTAGATTTTTGTTTGTTGAACCAATTTTGGTATCGGAAGCTTTGTGCAATTAAAGCGGACAATGTACAGAGTTAGCAATTTAGTTTAGCTATGCAGGCATGTCATTCCACAACGAGACCCTCAACGTCTAAATGTACGTAAACTCTCTCTGCCCTACTCTCCTTAATTAATGGTTCTATATAAATTGTTGTTTGTTCCAATTGATGTTAGCTACGTTGGGAGGAACGGGATATCGATTTTGGTCGTGACTCTGATTGCAATGCGTTCAATTGTTTGGTACATGAGATTTCTGGGCGTTTATTTCCTGCTTGTGCATAATCCTTGTGTATATTTCAGAATTAAGATTCATTATTATGGATTGGCGAAATATATTGAATTTTGTAGTTTCATTCTTTTAGCTGGTTCAGGAACACGTTTGGAATCAGAAAGGTCAACTTACAGTCTTTGTTCTTTTGGTTCTTTTTATTTGCATGTTGTTGAATGCAAGTACATCAACCAGTTTAGAGAAAGCAGGACACTGACTTAACTTAGCATCCCACCTACTCAATTTGAAGTCTTCCTTCAGGTCAGTTAATACCTTTCCATCAGGTTCAGCATAACATTCAAAAAAATCAGATAGGGGTTCTTGGCTGTGGGTTATGTTACAGTGATTTTTTTTGTTCGTTGACTCTGCAAATTGTGAAATTTATTTGTTGGTCTAATCCAATTCAACAATGAGGCAGGAAGGTAAATTGAGGTGTGATGTTAACTTCCTTCTTCTAAATGTTCAACGATGCTTTCTTGTACTGAAATATTTGCCTTAGATTTGGATAGCTGAGATGAGATATAGCTGAATATTCCTTGCTGTTAGCTGTTTGCTTGCTTCTGGTAACCGCAGGGAGAAATTATTATTGTGGGCTAACCTATTCATCATTAACTAAAAATAGGCCACATTATGTGTTGCTTTGCATGTTGTAACACTAATAT